GGGAGCAGTACTGGAATGGTGGGAAGTTGAGGGGGTGGGACAGCAGGGAGAGCGATGGGGGTGGGATGACGGGAGAGGCTGAAGAAGAGATTTGGGGTAGGGCAAGGCTGAGGGCAGTGGGTTGGGGGGAGCAGGGGGACTGTGGGGGAGGCTGTTGGAACGGGGGCAGGGACTGAGGGCAGTGGGTTCGGGGTGGGAGGTAAAGGGGGAACTACAGGAGAGGCTGAGGGAGCAGGGTCAGGGTGGGGCCTGAGGGCAGTGGGTCTGAGGGGAGCCCCCCCAGAGGGACCTGCCAGGGGGCCAGGTGAGCCCAGCAGAGCTTACCTGGAGCGGCTCCCAGGAAGCATGCAGCAGGCAGGTCCCTCCCAGTCCCTCTGGCCCCTTCCTAGGATCGGGTCGGGTCGAGGGGAGGGGGGCAGGGCTCTCTGCCCGGCGACAGCTGCCTGCTGCCGGAGTCTACAAGCCCCGCCCCGCTGCAGCACGCAGGGGAGTGAGACCTCCTCCCTGCCTCTCTGTGTGCCGGGGCAGGGGGAGGGCTGCGCTCTGCAGGCTCCTGCCGGCCGGGCGGGGGGCCCCGTGGGCTGGCGCCGCTGCGCCGGGAGCTCTCAGCTGCGCGCTGCCCCAGGGCCCAGGGAGGGAAGGTGAGTGGCGCCAGCGTTGCCGGCTTGCCGCGGTTCCCCCAGCGCGGCTGCCCTGTCCTCGCTTTTAGGTCTTTAAATAGCCGTCCGGGGGGAAATCCCGGACATTTTTAGCTTTTTACAAATTCCCCCCGGACGGCTATTTAAAGACCCAAAAGCCGGACATGTCCGGGGAAACCCAGACATATGGTAACCCTAAAAAATTATTGCAGCCTTGCACAGGCCCCATTCACATGCCAGAGGGCCTACTGTAGTTCTGAATTATAGCTGCCAATTTTGGTTGGACGAATTCCTGGAGATTTCATCTCAGGATATAATCTTCAATGAAAGATCGATCTTTAATTCCTGGAGGCTCCAGGACAATTCTGGAGGGTTGGCAACCTTATTCTGAATACTAATTGCTTCCATCAGATCATTTTGTTGTGGAACTTCACCTCCTGATGAATGTAACCAGTCACAGAATGCCAAACCAGCCCTATCGAGTTCAAGTCAAATGATCTGCAACAAGACAGCCATTGCACACTTGTCAAGCAGAAGCATATTGCTAACACTGTGGGCAATTGTACACTACTTGTACTGTACTTATTTTCCTAAAAGGCATAGCTATAGTGTAAGTGGCACATCACTCAGGGGAGGGGGCACATCCATTTTACTGTTTCAGCCTGGAATAGCAGCATATAAACAGGATTCTTTGGGTGTCTGTTTCTGAGAGGAGATATAGAATGAAGTTAAAAGCAAATATCTCATTCTATAACAGTTTACAGTTTTATATGAGATGTGCGTATGTATATATATCAGGGGTGGCCAAACTTACTGACCCTCCAAGCCGCATACGACAATCTTCAGAAGTTCGAGAGCCAGGACATGCCTGCTGAGGCTCAGGGCTTCAGCCCTGTGAGACAGGGTGTCTCAGGACTTCAGGCCCCTGGGAAGCACCTGCCAGGGCTCAGGGCTTCAGCCCCATGGGAGGCATCTGCTGGGGCTCAGGGCTTCAGCCCTGTGGGGGGAGGGAGGGGTCTTGGGGCTTTAGCCCACGTCTGCTGAAGCCCTGAGCCTTGGCAGGTGTGCCCCATAGGATTGAAACCCTGAGAACCCCTCCCTGCTGGGCAGAAGAAGCCCTTAGCCCCACCACCCAGCTGCAGTGCAGAAGCCCCGAGCTGCCCTCCCCCACACAATCTGGTAGGCAGAGAAGGGGGAGGCTCTCCGCAAGCTGCACTTTAATTGTAAAAGAGGCGCTTGCGGCTCGTGAGCCATGGTTTGGCCACCCCTGAGATAGATCCTAGATATAGATAAATGAGCGATAGTATTTAACTAATAAATATGGCTTGTGAGAAGTGATGCAGGTTTTATTTTTTATTGTTTCACTTAAAGTAGTAAAATTTCCTGGTTCATCCATTTAACATTAAGCATCCAAGGCCCCACTTCTGCAATGAGCTCTATAATGACACATCCCTCTGCCCACTTGGGGTCCCATTGAAGTCAATAGGGCTTCATGGGGGGGGCACGTCTCTGCACATACAGAACTCATGGCAAGATAAAAGTCCAAATATGTAATTATTATTCACACTTTCCCCAATGGACTATGGAACAATGATCCAAAGCAAGTTTGAGACATATGGAAGCAAGAGAGATTGCTCTTTAATAAACAATTCAGATAATTAATTGACAGTCTTTTGAAATGATCTTAGCTGATTTTTTTCCTTTCTTTTTTATTGATGTGGTATGAAAGAAACAAGTGCTGAAGTCCTCTGATTTTTTTTTCATTGGTCAGGATAAAATGAACACATTTTAATAGACTCTGTTACTTTATGAGCATTTTTTTAAATAAAAGGTTTCCCTCATCAATGCAATATCTTACATTTATTATATCAGATATATTATACCTAGATATGTGACATGCAATAAAGTGCCTCAGCCCATTATTCAACTATCTGATCTGCTTTATAATATTTGATGTCAGTATCTGGTTGCTTTTGCATTATAAGAGTACTAATTTGGGGGCGTTTGTGTGATCTAAATGCTTTCTTTGCCCTCCTGCAAGTCTTGGATCTATAATGTTGACTAAACCTTTTTGGTAGTGTCCTTCCCTCATAACTGTTTTATTGAGCTATAAAAAGGAAAATCTATAGCAGCATGTAGCTCCCAAAGATACTTGAACCCCAAAGGTTCAGAGGTTTAATGAAGATATGCATGGAAAAGTTTGAATCCTTTTTGAATCTGACCCAAATTCCTTCTGTCTGGAAATCTCAAGAAACAGCATTTCTTGTGAGATGTCTAGTGTTTCCTGGCTTTTCAGAAGTACTGCCATTTCAGCTTGTTGCCCTAGATGGCACCACAAAATGCAGTGGCCTTTGAAATTCCAAATAAACTAAGTTACCCAAACGTTATCAAACCTCACAACACGCTTCAGTTGAAGTTTTGGATGAATATTTACTTCTGTGCTCACTGTAGCTGAACCATCCACAGTAACTTCTTGTTATGACATTTTATTATGTAGGTGTAAAGGTTAATTATTGTGCATCTACCTATGACTATTATGGATTAGACAAATCACTAAAAAATTTAGTTTGTTTAAAAAAAACCTTCTTTGTACAGCAAGTGCCATTGAAAAGTAAATATTTATCAATAGTTATTAACCTATAGAATCTTTATCCTGCAGTTATGTTATGTCCTGTATACAGGGAAATACTGCAATATCTCAGGTACCATGGTACTGGTATGGCAACTACTAGCTTTAAGTATTCTCTTAGCCTGTAGCATCCCAGGAGTCACTGAAATATTTAAGGTAAATAATACATATTTTTTAATATTTATGTACCCTAGAGATAAAAAAGTCAGCTTTTCAAAATTCTACTTGCCCGCTAATCTGGAGTGCATAACTCCCACCCCCACCACTCCGTCATCATCACCAACATCATCCTGGCATAGAAAGTACGCTTATTAAATTTGCAGATGATACCAAACTGGGAGGGATTGCAACTGCTTTGGAGGATAGGGTCAAAATTCAAAATGATCTGGACAAATTGGAGAAATGGTCTGAGGTAAACAGGATGAAGTTTAATAAAGACAAATGCAAAGTGCTCCACTTAGGAAGGAACAATCAGTTTCACACTACAGAGTGGGAAGAGATTGTCTAGGAAGGAGTATGGCAGAAAGGGATATAGGGGTTATAGTGGACCACAAGCTAAATATGAGTCAACAGTGTGATACTGTTGCAAAAAAAGCAAATGTGATTCTGGGATGCATTAACAGGTGTGTTGTGAGCAAGACATGAGAAGCCATTCTTCCGCTCTACTCTGCGCTGGTTAGGCCTCAACTGGAGTATTGTGTCCAGTTCTGGGCACCACATTTCAAGAAAGATGTGGAGAAATTGGAGAGGGTCCAGAGAAGAGCAACAAGAATGATTAAAAGTCTAGAGAATATGACCTATGAAGGAAGGCTGAAAGAATTGGGTTTGTTTAGTTTGGAAAAAAGAAGACTGAGAGGGGACATGATAGCAGTTTTCAGGTATCTAAAAGGGTGTCATAAGGAGGAGGGAGAAAACTTGTTCATCTTAGCCTCTAAGGATAGAACAAGCAGCAATGGGCTTAAACTGCAGCAATGGCGGTTTAGGTTGGACATTAGGAAAAAGTTCCTAACTGTCAGGGTGGTTAAACATTGGAATAAACTGCCTAGGGAGGTTGTGGAATCTCCATCTCTGGAGATATTTAAGAGTAGGTTAGATAAATGTCTATCAGGGATGGTCTAGACAGTATTTGGTCCTGCCATGAGGGCAGGGGACTGGACTCGATGACCTCTCGAGGTCCCTTCCAGTCCTAGAGTCTATGAATCTATGAATCTATGAATCCTGGTAAAGGGTGGGTGAGTAGATTTTGCAGTCGACTAGATAAATTTTCATGACAGTTTTCCAAGACTGATAAAAATTATATCAGGTGATGATTTACATTTTAAACTGTCCTTTAAAACTAACATTTTCATAGTGATAGGTGTGTACCAATAATGGAGAGGAATTATTTATGATTGTAAAAGAGGATATAACTAGAAATAATTGAATGAAAATCAATAACTGTGAGGACAAACTCTTGACTGTGAGATCTATGAGGCTGTGGAATAGGCTCCCAAAAAAAGTTGTGAGACATGCCCCCCCACTACCATCATTATTTGGGGCTTTTTAAGGAACACTGGACAAAGTATTAGCAAATATTCTTTGGGGGTCAATCCTGCTCTGGCAGGGTGCTAAGCTACTTCATCCAATAAATCTTTTCCTATTTCCTATTCTATCTCCTTTGTCCTATTTTTCTCTTGCCACAATTGATAATATATTAAAATATTGCAAACAAAATGTTTGGGAAAATCTTGTTAAAATACCTGTTATAATTTTAAATGCAAATTAAAGAAATGTCATAAAATATTGTTAAATGTTTCACTTCTAACAAAGCCTTCAGTCATCTAGCTTTGGGAGTAAGTGTGGACATTAGAACAACAACAACAACAAAAAACAGTTCAAACTAGTCTTTAAAGATGTTTAACCAGCACTGTTTCAGACTTGGAGTAAAACTTTAAATTGACTCAAAGACTATAGATTTGTTGCAATCTTTGCAGTTCACTGAACTTTTTTTCTGTGCATACATATTTCAAGTAAACTCTGTAGTTATAAGGATAGCAAGTGACACGTTATGGACCCTAAATCGTTGCACTGTGAAATATGCACAGAAAAAGGACAAATGAAGATATCAAGGGTCTGTTCTATTTTGCACTGAACTGTAAAATGCCACCCTTGTTGTACAGAAGATCACTGGTTCTGAGCAGGGCTCATTGACTGCTAAGTTGTGGGTAGTGTTTCACTTTCTGCAACTGTTAATATCCTGGGTTATCCAGGCATAATGACCTCTCTATTTGTGACACATTGTTGAATTTTCTGGTTCTTTTAACTTATTCAAACCCTTTTTTCTCCATTCATTGGAAGGCTGGAATGATTCTGAGTCGAGCTTTGGTACAGAGCTGTCTAGCTATTGGTCATCCAATTAGAGTTGAGACAGATGATGGCACATCTCTGGAAGGATATAAGTTAACAGTACAGAAAAGGTACTGATAATATGTTGCTTGTGCCATATGTAGAATTATATGGGTAATTTGAATGTTATTGAGAAATGCTGCTATACTGTTTTATTTCAGTGTTCCTGAATCATATATGTTAATCAATGTATTATTATAGCTGATCTTTCATCTTCAAATTCCTACTGGAATCAGAATTTCAATTATATAACCATCTAATTATTAGTCATCTCTCTCTCTCTTTTAAAGATTTTAAATAATCATAAAGGTTTGGACAGTTTAAGAATGTAGCCTCTTTGAAATATATAAGCTAAAAATGGAGTTGACGCTACAATATAGTGTTCGCTTTTCCTAGTCTGAATGCGTTCTGATTTCTGCTAATCCTGCAAGATTATTGGGGCAGATCCTGCAGTCAGTGGAGCTATGACAATTTACAGCAACTGAGTTCTGTTAGTTGAGCACTGGAATATCGTCCTTCTCCCCTTCTCCTTCCCCACCAAACACAAAAAAGTAAAGTTACTTGTTGTGTTACATGCTAACAGTAACTCTTTCTTATCTTGGCCATCACCATGAGACTCTCGTTTCTTTAGGATCACATAATCTACATGCTTTTTCACTTTGTCCCTTATAACTATAAACCTGATTCAAAGTTCATTGATATCAATGGGAAAACATACAACAATGGAAGATATTGAATTTTGCTATCTGAAATGGAAACTTCACAACATGAAGAAAAAGGAAGCAAAACTTAACAGTGACATCTAGTTCCTTAGCAAATGCAAGAAACAAAACATCATCTCAGAGGTCTCACTATCTATAATCCTCTGACCACTATATGCAACTCCAGATATGCTGAACAGCTCTGCAGACGGATGTCAGAAACATACAATAATGGAAAAACCTTCATTTTAGACTGAATATGTAGGTTGGGTTCACTTAGAGAAGTATAAGCAAAAGGCAAAATTACTTGCAACAGGATTTTTATTTTTATTTTTTTGCTATTCATTACAAACTCTCTCAGGGACTTGTTTTCAATTTTTTTGCTTGAAAATGAACTCCTTTCTAAGATACTAAATGCATGTGCCATTCCAGTGTCCTTACTACTAGATAATCCATGGTGGAAGCCACAAGAACGGTTTTGTCAGGTATAGATTCAAATTGTCATTCAAGAACTCCATAGTATACACAGTAGTGTACACAACTGTGTTTTGGTGTTGGGCATTCACAACAAAAGCTTGTTTGCTTTATCCTCTTTTGACCTCCAATTTTTGTGTGTGTTCTTCATTTTACATACCAGATGTTTTACAAGCTGTATATTAGCATTATTAATTACATGCTTAGGCATGGTTTAAAGAACACATAGTACCCATAGACTTTCCACACTGGAAAACATCAATAGGTATATACAAATGACAAAGGAACCACCTCAGTAACATGGTACAGTTCTAAAAATTCTTACTCAAGAAGTAGTCCTGATTTATATGAGTATTCCCATTGAAGTCTATTTGTTTGCATAAGGACTACACATGATTTAGCAAGCGGGCCTCAATTCTGAAAATTAAATATTACGAAATATGGAATCTCACTTAGGTACACTGGGTAACATTCACATTTATTTAGAAGTAAACATTTCCAATATTGTTCTAGCAAGCCTAACCCTAGAAAGAAAGATCAAGGGAAAGTTTTTTAGTAGATTATATCTGTTAACCTGCTCAGCATGGGAGAACTTTTATTAATATTGTATATTCCCAATGGCATAGTTCTCAGGGTCACTATGCCTTTTATGCCTATACTTCCCAGCAAAGGAACAATTGCATAGGATAGGGTGAATGTTTTACTAGACCATTGGGCACATTGATTTTTATATTCATGGATATGTAGATCAAATTGAAATAACCTAAAGGGGGCTGATGTGATGCCCCAGGAGTGTTACAGATGTCAAGATTCCTAGTAACTTTGAGTATGTTTCTACTCTGGGTGCACTCCCTGCAGAAAAATAGCACAGGGTGTCATTGAGATCTGTCACTTGCTGACACTTAGGGGAAAAAACTCCTCTACCTACACTAGGTCATTCCCAAGACATGTCCCATATGAATAAGATTGTGCACTGAACCTAGTTTTGATTTATTTACATTTAAAGTAAATGTTACACAAGTCAGACACACATGATCTTTTGCCTGCTGATATATCCTTAAGCAAATGTCCATGTATTGGAATGCTAAGATGTCTTTTTTTTCTTATATAGGACACTACCTCAGAAATGTATTTTTGTAAACACCCTGAAACTAAAGGGCAGGAGCGACCTCTATTTAAAGATCTGATAAAATTGCACTGATTTAAGGAACTTCTTGTTTTGAAGTGTTTATATTGTTTAATATTGAAATGTTAATGATGAAAAAATCGTAAGATGATGTTAAGATTGAGAAAGATATGAAGTCTAGGAAACTAAACCTTAAGGTGCATCCTCCTTCTTCAGCTGTGCTATTGTGAAGCCCTTTCCCCCAGAAATAAGGCATCATGAGTTAAAATCCAGGTGTCAGTTAGAATTTGGGCGTTTTGGGAATTTCTCAGTTAGTATCACAACTTTAACCCTATTTAAGCATTTTTTAAAATCTGATTCCTTATATGGTATGGTCAAAAGAAATGCTGATGGATTATCTAAAACACAATAAGAAAACAGAAAAGGAAATAGGGTTTCAGTGTCACTGGCATTGTGTTTAATTTCTTGTTTTCAGAATAGCTTTTTGTTTTTTTAAAACATGTATCATGACTCATCAGGCAAAAGTGAAACAGGCATCTTTTATTTGGGAAATCTCACTCTGGAAACTAAAAGTGTAAATGTCATTTGCTGTGTTCATTTGTTTTTTTATTATTTAGTAAGAACTAAACAGGTTTAACTCTTTGATTATACCTTTCCTTTACAGAGACAAAAGCAGCATCTATCAACACTGGGGTTTTGGAAATGATGGTTCTATCTATTGTAAGGTGCGTGCTTCGTAAGTATGTTTGAAGGAAGATGAGGGTTTCTTTAAACTGGTTTACCCTCCTTTTCATACTTTCACATGAAACCTATCAATGTAGGAAAGTTATGTGCATGTGGTGAGGAAAGCACCGTCCTGCATTAATAATTTCAATGTTTTTGTTTTAAATTGTCTCCATGTTAATATTAGAACATTCTATAAAAATATTTTTTCAGTTATTGGTGTCTCTTTTAAATTTGCTTTTGTCCTTTAATTTTTTAACGCTTTCCTTCATCATTATTTTACACACATCTATTTTGATTTATAACTAGTTTTATATAAATAAAAATGCAACGTTATTCTTAATGTAATTGATATAAGAGAATTCATTTGGCCAGAAATCAGTATTTGGAAGGAAGGCTAAAGCTAAAAACAATATAAGGTGCTACTGCCATCTGAAAGCATGTTTCATTGCTTTTATATTCATTTGTTAAGAGAGGCTTAAACACATATGGGGCTGGAACTTGAGCCCCTTACGCCCAGGTCTTGCTATGCCACTGGCTAACAGAGTTTTTAATGTAAACATTCAAAGAGCTTTAAATGTAGTGATTTTGTACATGGAACAAAACATAGAGACTGCTTTAGCAAACAATGAGATATTCTTTCATTAAAAAGAGATGTAGAAAGGCCTCTCCACATTTTGATTGGGAAAGAAGGGAACGCCTATTTATGGTATTTGTGTAATGTGGGGACTATTTAAAGGACAGTTCTCAAGTTAAGTGATAGTGAGGCAATTGTTTCAGTAAAACTCTGAGTCAATGACCACATAGCACCTTTAAACAGTGGGGATGGGAGTCAGGGCATTGTTCAGCTTGCCAGGGAAGAGGGAATAGCGCTTTACAGCCAGGAGGGGGAATGAGGCTCAGAAGCGACTGCAAAAGAGAGTGTGGGTCAGTGTGGCGACACTGATGCTGAATCTCCTCCCCAGGGACCAGAAGGGCTGGGGAGGTCAAACGGAGCAAGCCCAGCGGGAAAAGCCCCTTTTTCCAGGACCAGGCAAAGCAGCACCCACCCTACCTCCCCTTGAGGCAGCAAAATGCCAGGTTTGCTCAGGACCTGCTGTGGGTGTTGTGCTAGCTGCTCCTTTCTAGGGGGCTGGGAAGGAATTTTTCCTTCACCACCAGACTGGCCAAGGTTTTTATTTTTGCTTTCCCCACAACGGGTTCAGGGAGGGCTTTGCTATGGTGCGTAGGGAAGGGAGTTAGGCTATGGTGTCACAACTCATTATATAAGTGTGGGGCAGCTGCCCAGTGCAGGGACTCCATAGGGAAGGGCTGCAACGACTGGATAAATGGCTTGGTAAAGGTCTTAAAACACCGTAAAAGAAGTGTTTGTTAAAAGAGTGGAACGGGAAGGGGGGTATTCAGAGCTCCTATGACTGGCACAGCAGGTAGCCAACCCTCCTTTCACCATAACCCTTATTTGATGGGGGAATGGTAAGGGAATCGCCCTGCCTCAGCCTCCCTGCACCAATCAGTGTCTCCTCTGAGAGACCCCTTTCCTGCCTGCATTCCAAGCCTCTCCCTGGGGAGGGCAAGAGGTGGCCAAGCAGGGAAGGTCTGACTTTTGTTTCTGAATTTGCAGATGTGCCATTGAGCTGTGGAAGGCCTTGGGTGAAGGTCTCAGCTATGGGTTGGCTGGGGGCCCTGGGTGGAAAAAGAGGAGGCTGGCAGAAGGACCCTGGTAGTTAATGAATGATCATGGAGTTACCTGCATTATCCACTTCTATCTGCTGGGTAGTCCCAGACATGTAATAATAAAATTGTGACCTGATTAAAACCATATCAGGTGTCTCCTGTCCTTCTTCCAGTATTGCTGGACAAAGCCCACTTCTTAAAAAATAAAATCAACCAACAAACTAAAACCTACTGCTTCAGGACTAAACTGAAGATGATGACATTAAAAATACCAACCAACTTACACTCGTGATTGCCCTTTTTGTAAATACAATGGACTGCTGGCTGTTGTGCTTACTCTCTAACAGGTAAAGGAAACACCACTCTTCAAATACATTACTGGTGGAATAGGAATATATTTCTTTGAGTATATTTGCTGTCAAGAAGTTCCTTTTCAGTGACTGCAGTCACATCAAGTCTCTGAATGACAGTGTTAATGTGGGCAACATGAGTGCAACGGCCTTTAGTGCATAGTGTTGACAAAGAGACTCTTTTTATTTTGTATGGGTGAAGATGAGTGTCCTCACGCTGCAGCTTGAATGAATGAATTCTGACATATTTTAGGTCAGTTCATATATGTGGGCATTAGGGATCCATGGACAGTAGTATTTGGTTAACATTCACTCTCTTCTCCCCTCCTTGCCCTTCCAACTCAAATAATCGGCTGTATACCACTAGTGGGGTGATGTCCAGTGCCTTTTGCAAAGATTAATTGAATTGTACTTACCAGGACCTAAAAAGTTTCAGTGGCTCTTGAATGTACAGTGAATTTTCTGAAAATGTGCGCTGAAATGTTGGGAACATGTACAGTGTTAAAATCTGCTAATTTACAGAAAATAATAGAATACTCAGTCCAGCAGGAAATCAATAGCAGGCCTGTCACTAGCATTGTCTGCCTGGGACCAGTCTTCTATTTTCCTCCCACTCATATGGACATTCCATCGGAATGATTAGATACTACTGTTCACATAGCACTGATGGACTGACAGAATGGAGCGACAGTAGAAGTGTTCTCTCTTTCTTTACCTGCTGAGTACAGCACTTCGTCCTTTTTTGTTATGCATAGTGATTTTTCATGTGCTGGCTTTTTAAAACCCTTTGTGTACTCTCTATATAATATTGACTTCCAAAATTGCTACTACTTAACTGCTGACAACAGAACATTTCTGTTCAATTCTGGCCTGTGCTTGACGCACTGAGAACTGGGTGCTAACAATTAGTAGTTCTAATCCCCAAATGGTGTATTTTTCTATATATTTCCCAGCACATTCACTTTATCTGTAGTGTCATGTTTTAAGTTGCAGCATGTGTCAGCCAACAAGAACTGACACAGTAAAATGACATAATACAATGTAATGATATGTGACACATTCATACTGAAAGGGGAACACACTTTCTTTGGAATTGATATCTGCTATTCACTGATTAATTATATTTGTAAATAATTTACAATCTATTATTTATACTGCTTAAATATAATTGTCTTCTGTACTATGTAAGCTTTTATAGGCAATACTATAAAATGATCAAATGCTGTACTATAAAGTGCTTATTCCTAATCTGACACTGATATAATCTCTTTCCAGTCTCTTGACAATATCATTGCTGTAAAGTACAGTAAAAGTTAACCTCTCCAACACCTTAGGGTTATGCATTGAGGATAAATTAACTTTTTGGGTTTGTTCCCTAAATATTATCTTCAAAACTGTAATTTTTGCCCTTACTCATAATGGGCCAATTTCTATGCTCTTCACTCCCATTTAAATCAATAGAAACTTTACCTGAAAAATAACGTCAAGTCTGATCTCATTATAAACAAGGGTAGAAATCAGATTTCAATTACTTCTAGAAATTAATAAATGCTAACTGTGCTTTTTAATAGCCATACTTTGTTATGGATTGTGCATTTATGCCTACCACTGGCATCATCATGAATATTGTGCACTTAAAGCAAATTTAATCCTAAAAGTGAAACATATTAAAGACTATGGGTAAATTTTTCAAAAGTGCCTAAGTACCATTTTTAAAAGTGATTTATACACGTGGGAGCCAATGGGACTTAAGTCACCTAAGTCACTTAAGCATTTTTTAAATGTTTATGGGAGATCTAGTGTAGTGTATCAGATCTGAGTTAAAGACAGTGATAAACTGTGAATAAACAAGTGAGAGTGCTGCATCAAATTCTAGATACACAACTAGCGAGACTCAATATTATTGATGGCAGAAAAACATCTAATCTGTTCCTCAGAAAATGAAAGCCACTTATTGTACTGCTTTTTCTGTTTGAGAAGGTTACTTTAAAATACAGTGAGTTCAGAAGAAAAAAATCCTCACAGATGAAGAAAGGTTGACTGTAAACTAACTGAAAAGAAAGACACTACAACTAAGGCACAAAATATTGAACTTTATCATTAGATGCATCAGCCAAAATTGATAATATTATCAGCAGCTATTGTGATGTTAACATTATCAAGTGATCTCAGAATATGTGGAACAAAAAAGTTCTCTCAGATCTGCATGGCAGCCCTGATGTTCTGTTTTCCGTTTGGGCTCAGAAATGTCATTGATATCCGTGGGTAATCTACAGAATTGGCATTGCAGAATATTGTTTAGAAAGGGTGCTAAAATACAATAGCAATAGGTGCTTTATAAATGAAATAGATAGATTAGATGGACTGGATTCAAGAGCTACCCAGTGGAATGTTTGCCCTTATGCTTATGAAATATACTAATAACAGCAGTCACTAACTTCTAGTGTGTGTTTAGCAGACGATGCCCACAGAAGTATTAATGAGAAAGCGTGTATTTTAAAAAAAAAATGATATTTCATATTTGCAGTTTTGAAGTATAGTACTTAACTAGTGTTTGAATATTTTTCCATGAAAAAATAGTAAAAGTGATCATAAAGTAGTAAACTACATTTGTGGCTGTCAAAGCCACACAGGAAATACTATGCCTCTAACCTTTACACAGTGTCTCTGGGAGGCTACATCATCAAAGCTAGGCCCTAGGCTTCCATTTTTTACAAAGGGCTCCACGGCTCTACTACCATGAGACTGAATCACTGTCTTCAGCACTGCTATTTTTCACCATGATTCCTTCAGCAGGACCAAAAGAGTATAACCCTCCAGTTGGGAACTTACCCCTCTTGAGAACTATGCAACCAGCAGATCTTTTGCAATGACATAGGACAGCCTTTTCAAAACAAGCCATCTTTCATTAATCAATTAACATTCAGTGTGTAGGGTCCTCAGATTAGAATAAAAAGCAGAATTTATAAATGTGTCCGTACTGGCAGTGTTGCCTGCCTCTTTGGCGAAAAGCATCCAGGATTCCATCTCTCCCACTGCGCTGGGCAACAGCATTCTTACAGTTTTCCCACACATTTGTCATCTACTGCTTTCACATGTTCTGCCTCCAATGGCTGGTAGTCATTAAAAGTTAACGTCTGGTTGTTGGTCTTCCATTGAATTTCCAAGGTAACGCCATTCATGTTGACAGTGCTTGCTAGTTCATTCATACCAACCAAGACTTGTGTATTGTGATCAACATCCATCTCGTATTCTCCTGTCCCAGAGGATAAATTGATTCCATCAGTTCTAATAGGTCATAATACAAAAGTGAGTGGGTAAACTGAGCCATGCATATTTTTCATAAAAATACATAATTTCCCCACATTCTCCATAATGACTGTAAGCAAGAAATACTTTCATTTAGGCATAATCCAGCCTCTTTCACCATGGCCACCTATGACCCTTGAAAGCTACTTAGGCTGAAGTAGCTTCTGAGTAGTGACAATGCAGTCACTTCACAGCCTGGGATAAGGAAATGGGACTGATCATGTTACCCTGATGGAAAATATGGTGATTTTCTTGTTGGTTAAGTGGCTGAGAATGCAGATGTCCCTTCCTGCTAGGAAATAGGATGTTATTGCTAGGATATGATAATTTCACCTGGAGTATTTTAGCTAACTTGATAGGCTAGCAAAGTCAATAGTTGGCAACTGAATTTTATTGTTAGTTTGTTAAAAAAATAAAATGCAGTCATTTCACAGCTCAGAGCTTTTTTTCCATCTGAGATGGTAAAACATATTTGAGTTCATGCCTTTTTGCAAAGTGGCATTCTGCTAATATCTTATATTTCAGAGGCTAGCTAAATATGATGCTCATATTTAATTATATATAGTTACTTAAAAATAGGGATACAATATTTGTTTTATCAGAGAGTAAAAACAAAAACTTTATTCCATTTAAGTGGGTGTTTCAGTCTTAAAAGCCGTCAGTTCATATTCTTAAGTTACTTCTTAGCCTTTGCATAGTGTATTTTTCACTGTAGTACATCTGTAAAAGTCATTATGTAAATCTGAATTAGGAAAACTTCCTGAAATACAAAGTTATTTATATACAGTAACTTTTGTGACATTGCCTATATCAACCACTCTTCCCATAATTCCTGGTGTGTAGTTTGTTGTAATTCTGCTGATATACCCTAATGTTACTCTTTGTCACTCTTCTGCCTTTGTCCTTTCCTGCAGGCTTACCCTGAGTTTGTCCTGACCTACCTAGAGGAGCTAAATGTAAGAGAGGAGGTGACCCAGATGGAACACCACATCCACCATGGGGCCTGGTCTACAGCTCATCAGGAGATAGAGAGCAGCTCAGCAGAAGAGGTCACTGTACCAAGCCAGAGGCAGGTCAGAGACAGTCTTTTCAAAAATACATTTTGAAAAGAGAGACGTTAACCTCTACCATCTGTAGCTGTTTAAATAAATAAACTTATTTGCTTTTGTTAATTTAAAAATGTGAGACAAATACATTTACTAAGGCAAGATTTTAATGAATGCAACTTTTTTTTGTTCCAAACCTTTTACAGTTTGAGCCTCCTTTATTCCACTGAGTGACAAATTGTTGAAATTGCACATTCTGTATATCTGAAAGAAGTTAAAAAATCACTGCTTCCTTAGATTTCTGTTTCTTGATAAATCTTGACATAGCGATTTGGATTTCAACATTTTCTGTTGATCAACAGAAAAGTACTTACTTGAAAAAGTAGCCACATACTATTCTAATTAACAATATATAAATTGCATGGTTGTACTTCATTTTTTAGGTTCTGCAAAAAAATGTCAACAACTCCAATCAGAAACAACTTTCAGGACCTTTGGACGCCCATTTAATGCCTGCAGGTCCCCTAAGGGAGTCTATGCAGCTGACAGTCGCACTGGTGAGGAAACTAGAAGAGAAACATCCTAAGGCCTCAGCTCAAAGGTAAGCCACTGACAGAACTGATATTTATTGTTCAATGACATTAGATGTTTTCCTTCAGTTTCATGTAAGATTGATTTCCTGGATATTATTGAAATATCTCAGAAGCCCTCTGGCTTGTAAGCAAACATGGATTTTTGACCAAAATTAATGAAAAGGGGTGACATTTATGTGCATAAAGATGGATGTGTACACCCAGTTTGATAGTAATTGGGGAATTTACTTTTAAATTCTATGCATAAACCTCATAGAACGCAAAGTAATATGACTTTTATTGACGTTATGTGACATGGTTTGTGCCACTAGACTTTTAGGGTTACATAATAAATGTTTCATTATAAACCTGAAATTTAGGCTGAGCTGAAGCATGGCATAGCACATTGGCTCCATAGCCTAAGAGTATATTTTGGTTAAAGCTATATCTAAAAAGTAACCTTCTTAGTAATTTGAAATTACAGAGGGAAAGTATAATAGCAGTTTCAAGCTTCTATAATTAACACAAAAATATTTATTTTTCTTACATTTATATTTGATAGATTATCCTCTTTGTGGGCAACCATGTTGAATTATTTTAGAGCAAAATATTAAAAATGATTGGCCTATCATTCAGAAGACCAGCCTAGTAGACATTCATGGTATTTTTTTCAACAAAAATTCAATATTGAATTTTAGCAGCTTTTTTTTTTCATATAGCACGTGAACCTTGAAGTTATAGTAAGATTTGCAACATCAGATCAATAATATACTTTTAAAAATTACCTTAGTAATAGAAGTTGTCCCAACTAATTAATCATAATAAAATAATGTTAATAAAATCATATAATACAAATAACTCCAAATACTGCGGTGTTCAGATTATTGAAGATACCTTTAAACTTCTTCCTTTCCAGGAAGTATTGCACATAGATGAATTGCCATTGGTTGATGCTTTGATTTTTCTTCCTGAAAGTGCTGTGTTTTATAGTCAGTATTTCTGGGAATAATGTACTATATTAGTTCTAATACAACCTAGTAATTATACAGCTCATCAAAGCACTGAAGAGTTTTAGCAAAATCCATGAATAATAATGTTCTGCCAAGCTTTAAAGTTAACAATTGTTAATACTATTGTGTTTAAAAGATAAAATGTAAGAGCTCCAAATCAGCTAATACAGGCTACACTGGCTCTTTCAAAAATATTTTGAAATACAAAGTTAAGCCTAGCATAACATCATTTATTTATTCTACAAAGCTTAAAGTATATATTCCTAGGGTCTTAAATTATTGTGTGATGTTACAGTGTTACCATGTATTATGTTACATTGCATGTTATGACATGTTATGATATATGCCACATGACCTAAGCACAATGGGAAAAGTTAAGAATAAAGCGTACTAACTATCAATTTACATGCTTTGGGGTATTTTTACAACTTTACTGTTACTAAAATGATATGATTTGGAGGCTAAAGAGCAGCTCTGAAAGAACACAGGTTTTGATTCAGAAAAGTATCCTTGTAATCAAGACAGCGCAGTCTGAACTTTATGAATCTCCTTAATTCCCATGGGATTTATGTCTTATTGAATTGTGGTCTTTTGTAGTAAGAAGTAAAACACATACTAATATCTTTAATTTGTCACAATATTATTTTATAGTCAATAACATTCTGGAGTAAAATGTTTAAGTAGGAACAATACTAGTTCATAAAATGTTTAGGTCACCTTCCTTGTCAAACATATCAAACATATCAAATCCTCTATATTCTTTTCCTCTGCTTTTTTTGGTCCCGACCTGTGATATAGTATTGCTGTAGACTATTAAATAGCTGCAACATTCTAGTTATAACAAACTAGTTATAGTTTGTAAAACATGTTGAGCATCTTTCCAGAAGAAAAATGCTGTATAAGTGTAAGGTATTTTATTTAATAAATATATATTTTGTGATTGTGAAAGCTATAGTATGCGTGTATAGCAGTAAAATAGCCTATTGAGATCTATTTATGTAATGGGGAGAAGGGAAGCCACACAAATGAATGAAGTATGCATAGAATAGTTTTTTGTAGAAACCCTATCTACATATCAGGCCTGGAGTTCTTATTTAGGTACATTTCTGTGGAAGTTTTTCTTCAGGAATGGCCCCAGCAATTTAAGTTAGCACATACTGGGGTTAGTCACTCCCCTTCATAAGCTGTTCAGCTGGTGACCAGCAGGTTTTGGATCCTGCCTATTTAGTGAGCCACCCAGCCCAACCTGAGTTTGGGTTTTATCAGCTGTTGGCTTGACCCAAAGGGATAGCTGTGTGTGACTGCAGGAAATAAAAACTCTATTATGTTGGTAAATGTTTCCTCTTCACAGTTTTGTACTTTAAGGTGAAAGTACTTTCAGGATGATTGTAGTTCAGAGCTGTCATCACTAAATGATATTTCTCAGGGAGCTGGGAAACAGATTCATTTTCATATGTGTAGGTTCCCACAAAGTGGGCAGTGAGTATAGCCTCATATTGACAGAACAACCGTCATTTGGGTAGCTTTAATTGGGGCAGGCAGAGCTCACCCTTAACATGGGAATCTGCCATGATAATAATGTCATCAGAGAAAAGCATTTGGGGGCATGTTTGGGATTAATAGACACTGTTGTGTAAAACTGACTGATCCTTTGGTGGTTTACTTTTAAGACAACCTGTAATAAAGTTGTGTCCTTTACCAAGAAAGCTACCATATTATGTCATAACAACAGTGTATGTTGGGATAATGCTATGGTAGTATATGTTGCACATTATTATATTTAGAAAAACATGACAAGACAGGTGATACTATAAACCTTGAGTAGGGAGAATGGCAAGATACAAGGCTGAAAGAAAAGTAAATGTCTGACACCCAGAGTTTTGGGTGGCATCTCACAATCACTGTACTCTGTAATGTTTTATTGTTTACACTGAGCTATAAAATAGGTTCTACTCACTTGGCTTGGAATTTTCCATGACCAATTAGATTCTTATATTAGGCTCTGAGCTGATATAGCACCTAAGCACATGCATAGTTTTAAAGACATAATTAAGTCCTAATGTCTTCATTAGGATTTAAGCACACACTTAAATGCTTTGCTGAATTGGATACTTCATGAGTACAAGTTTTTGTTAATACAGAATACTAAATAGTTAACAGTATGCATTACTCCTCATTTTTAAAAACTGAGTTGAAATTTGAACCATAATTTGCTGGAATCAGTTCTAAATCCCAGTAGTATATTTTAAAAAAAATATTTACAGTATGCTAAAGGTATATACCACTCACAATACTTAGCTGTAATGAAAGAATGCTGTATAATTGAAAAACCTGACAAATAATTTTAGATAACTAGTTCTATAGTGGTTTCTATGTCCTTTCTGATATTGCAAAGCATTGAATAAAATAGCCATTGTCTATAAGAATATTAGCTGTATATTTGAAACCAAATATTCAGAGTTGCTGCCATTCACTTTCTTGTGTGTAAGTTCTTGAAAGGTTATAATGATGAATGTTCAGTCCTGCAATGGGAGTTGAAGTCACTCAGCACACTGAAGGACTGGGTCCAAAATGAACAGTTACTGGGATCATGTTAATGCTTCTGTTGAAGTCAATATAGTGCCACTATAAATCTCACTAGGCAAACCCCTTTTTAAGCAAAATCAGTGGGAGTCTGTGTACTACATATATTGAAATGTGGTATTTCTAGATGTATAGAAAAATAAGTATGATGTCAATATCTAACTGGAATGATCCATAGTGTAATTGTAGCCGTGTTGGTCTCAGGATATTAGAGAGACAAGGTGGGTGAGGTAACATCTTTTATTGGACCAACTTCTGTTGGTTAGAGAGCTCGAAAGCACGTCTCTGTCACCAACAGAAGTTGGTCCAATTTAAGATATTACCTCACCCACCTTGTCTCTTGAATTATCCACAGCAGATTCGGTATATATTATTTTGTGTAATATAAAAATTAAGTATTTTACTATTTTCTGTATCTACATTTCAACTTTAACACATAAGAATTTTAAAATGAAGAAAGGAAATGCAAAGATTCTCTTTGAATCTTGTCCAGTCTTCAACGGGAGAATTGCAATGTCCTCCTCTGAATCATTAGGGGCGGAGATAGATGTGTTAGCTGTCATATAGCATATTAAGCATTTTAGTGTGGGAAATTTCACAAGTAAAATGAGGGGGAGTATTTAAATTAAACAATTTCAGGCTTTTTGTAAGCTCAAAAACATGGTCTACATCAATGGGTCTCCAATAAACTAGTTCAGAGAATCCCTGATGTCTGTTCATATGGGATACCTGCGAATTGTGTTATGTACATGTTCATAGGGATTTGATTTAATATCAGGTAATGGAAAACTTAAAGTTTATGTCAGGTTTGCACTGAGTTTAGGACTGTTCTCTAGAAGATGTCAAAGTCCAGATAGAAAATTAGGATGGCATCCTCTTTTCTACTGGATTAAGGCTAGGATTCACAGGTTAACGTAACAATGGCTCAAAAATTCCTTATCTTCATACCAAACTGAACAGAAGCCACCACAAAAACCTGACAGCTATCCTCGAATTGGTGTGCTATAACTTGCCCCATGAGATCCTGGTAATATGGCCCTGTGACGGGGGCCCGGTTGGCCCAGTGTGAGGTTGATACACCCCACCACCTAGTTGTCGGGATTCCCGCTTAGATCAGGTAATTGCAGTACGGGGGGCTCCGGACCCCTGGCAGGGCCAAGCAAACAAACAAACAGTCAGTAGCCCCCTGAGTCTCCGGGCTGGGGCTGACAACAACAGTTGGAGTTCTGGCCCTCTGGGTAGGATGGAACAATGGTCAGCCTGCAGCCCCCGGGCAAGGCTGGGCAAACAATTAGTCTATAGCCCTAAGCCTCCTGGCTGGGGCAGGCAGTAGTAATTGGGGTTCTGGCCATCTGGGTAAGACAGAACAGCAATCAGTCCATAGCTCCTGAGTGGGGCAGGGCAAACAATTAGTCTATAGCCCCTGAGCCTCCTGG